TGCTAGGGGGCGGGGCTTGTTGCTAAGGAGAGGACCTGCCATATAAGGGGTTGGTAGGGGGCGGGGCTTGTTGCTAAGGAGAGGCCCTGCCATATAAGGGGGTGCTAGGGGGCGGAGCTTGTTGCTAAGGAGAGGCACTGCCATATAAGGGGTTGCTAGGGGGCGGAGCTTGTTGCTAAGGAGATGCACTGCCATATAAGGGGTTGCTAGGGGGTGGGGTTTGTTGCTAAGGAGAGGCACTGCCATATAAGGGGTTGCTGGGGGCGGGGCTTGTCGCCAAAATCCCCTCAGGCCTCTCCAAAATCCTCTTAAATCTCCCCAAACCTTCCCCAAATTGTCCGAAATTCACTACTTCTCCCAAAATTCCCGAATTCCGCAGCCCCAGGACGATTATTCCGTGCTTTTCGAGGACACCTCCTACGCCGACGGTTACTCCCCACCCCTGAACGTGGCCCAGCGCTACGTGGTGGCCTGCAAGGAGACCAAAAAGAAGTGAAAGTTTGGGAGAAATGACCGAAAATTCAGGAAAAACGGCCGGAAGTTCAGGGAGAATATCCCAGACTTAAGGGAGGGGTGAAAAAAAAGGGGGTTGGGGGGGAAAAAAGTGGATTAAAAGGGATTTTTGGGGGTGAAAAATGGAATTTTTATGGTGAAAAAATGGATTTCCTGTGAGAAAAAAAAATGGGGATTTTTGGTGTTGAAACTGGGGAAAACTTCCCAAAATTTGGGAGAGGGAGGGGCCAAAAATTCCCAAAAATTGGGAATAAAACCTCTCAAAGTGGCGCCAAAAAGGGGGAGGGACAAAAGGGGAAATGGCGCCATGGGGGTGTGGCCTAATGGGCCCCGCCCTTTTAAATTAATGATGAATAACTTGTTATGAATGAACTGATTTTATTATAAATAAATTAATTAAAAAACCTCTTGTGTGGGTGTGGCTTCATGTGGGGGCGGAGCTGGGGATGATGATGTCATCGGGCTCCTCCCACTCCTCTTCAGGCTCCGCCTCCCCCTTACAGCGACGAATCAGATCCCCCCAGAGGAGCTGGGCGTGGCACCTGGGGGTGGGGTCAGCGTCAGGACACACCCCCTTTTCCTTATAAGGCAAAGAGCTGTAGGGAAGCCCCGCCCCCCGGCGCAAGCCCCGCCCCTCTCACCGGGGACAGGCGCCCGTGATTGGCAGCAGCTGCCGCGGCTCCGGCGCCAGGAACAGCCGGGCCAGGCAGGGGGGATGGGCGGCCATGGAGCACGGGGGGCGGGGACAGCGCAGAAGGGGCGTGGCCAGGTCCTGAAAGAGGCGTGGCAGCATCAAAACCCAAAAAGTCCCGCCCCAATTGCATAAATCTACATGAAATTTGCATTTTTTAAGCGCTTTAAAACCAGAGCCCTTAAGGCTATTAATGATTTATATTAATATTAATCATTTAAATGATGCCCCGCCCCCTCAAGCCCCTCCCCTTACCTCCCCACAGAGGCCACACCCATCGGCGGCCGCGGCCGTTTCTTGACTCCGCCCCTTTCTCCTTTTAAGGCGCGGTGGCCCCGCCCCCTCCTCCTCCACCACGTGAGGGGGCGGGGCCAGCTCCAGGGCGGGGCGAGGGGGGCGGAGCCAGCGGATTTTAAGTGGGAGGCGGGACCAGGGCGGGGCCCGGAGGAGGCGGGGCAGGACGCGGAGGGCGAAGCCGATTGGCTGCTCCCGGGGGCGGCGCACGGGCGGCGCGAAGAGACGGTGGGAGGAGCTTGGGTGCTGCCACGCCCACTCAAACTGCAAAAAGGGGAGGGGCTTCAATTAGAGACGTTTTAATTGGGGTTTGATTGAGGTGGGAGGAGCTTAAGTGGGGTGGGGCTTAATTGGGTGGGGTTTAAGTGTGGTTTAATGAGGTGGGCGGGGCTCGAGGGGGCGGGGCTCACCCTGAGGGCGGCGACGTCGGAGGGGAAGCCGTGGACGAAAAGTTCCATTTCCCTTTTTGGGGCAAAAATCGGTAAAATTAATTGGTCTGCTTCGTTAATGGGTTTAATTAGCAGCTCCTTAATTGTTCACTTGGATAAATTGCCTCAAAATTCGTTCCAAATTCCTGAAAATTCCCCTCAAAACATCAGGAATTCGTTACAACCTCCCCGGATCTTCCAAATTCCTCCCAGATCCCGGAAATCTCACGAAACGACCCCAAAATCCACCCAGAAATCCTTCTTGGACCCCCCCTAAACTCTCCCAAATGCGTAAATTCCCCCAAAAATCACCAAAATTCCCACATTTCCCTCCCAGGTGCCCCGAACCGTCCCCAAATCCTCTTTTTGAGACCCCAAACCCCTTTAAATTGCCCCCAAATCCCCTTAAATTCACTCCAAATCCCCTTTAAACCACCCAAAATCCCCTTTAGACCCCCAAAATTCCCCTTTCCCTCCCCAAAACCCTTGAACCCCCCCCAAATCCCCTTTAAACGCCACAGAAATCCCATTTAACCCCTCAAATCCTCCCCAAACTCCCCCTGAACCCCCTCAGATCCCCCTCAAATCCCGAATTCCCGCCGCGGTCCCGCACCAGGGCCCCCTCCCGCTGGTCCTGCGGGCCCCCCCCCGCCTCCTGCCGCCGTTGTGCTGCCGCAGCCGCCGCCGCGGATCCACCGTGAACCCCACGTAGGTCCCGGGCCGGGCCGGGCCGCGGGCGGCGGCGGCGGAGCGCAGCAGGTACACGGCCCGCATGGCGGCCATCGCAATCCCACAATGCCGCGCGCCACTTCCGGTAAACGGGGGGGGGAGTGAGACACTTCCGCCTCGGTACCCAGAATGCACTGCGAAAACCGAACCCGCCGCCCTTTTGCCTCGTTACCCACAATGCCTCGTTTCAGTTTCCGCCTCGGTACCCAGAATGCCCCGCGCGCGGCGGAAGTGACGCACGCGGAAGCGGGAATGGAACCTCCGACGGCGGAGGAGCTGCGGGAGCGGCTCCAGGAGCGGCTCCAGGCCGAGCACGTGGTAATTAATTAATTTGCGGCTAATTGGGGACGAGCGGGCTTTCATTTGGCCGGGGACTGCCTTAATTATCCGGGAAAAGTTTAATGAGCGGCTTTGGGGCTTTAATTAGAGGCCTGAATTAAAAGCGCTGGGAAAATTCATAATTTATCTGTCAGTGTTAATTAAGGTTTGACTCACGGGGGAAATTAATTAATTAGTGCACAGTGATGCAAAATTAGCCCCTATTACGGAGAAACGGCGGCTAATTAGTAATTAATTAGTGGTCCAGGGGTGTTAATTAGTTGCTAATGGGCTTTGATTAGCAGTTCAGGTGGGTTTATTAGTCTTTAACGGGCATTAATTAGAGCCTATCAGGTGTTAATTGGTGCCTAATTAATGATTAATGGTTATCGATTAGTGTTTAACGGCCGTTAATTAGTATGCGGTGGGTGTTAATTAGCAATTGGGGGGTGTTCATTAGTGGCTAATGGCAGTTAATTACCGGTGGGGTGTTAATAAAATACCATTGGGCACTAATTAGCGCCTGTGCTGTGTTAATTAGCAATGAACCGCTGTTAATTAGCACTTAACCGGCGCTAATTAGTGCGTGGGAACCCCTAATTACGGACTAATAGCAGCTGATTATTCCCCATTAATCCCAGCTGATCATTAATCCCCCCCCGGATTAAGTAGTTTAACGATGAAGGGTTTAATTGCGGGCACTAATTAGCGCTAATTAACGGCTGTTAATTGCAGGAGGTGCAGGAGAACCCCCAGCTGTGCCGGGGCAGTTTCCGCCTCGTCGTCGTTTCCGGAATTTTCCGCGGCCTCAAAACGCTGCAGAGGCACCGGTGGGGGCGGGGCCAAGGGGCGGGGCTTAAAGGGGAGGGGCTTAAATGGGGCGGGGCTTAAAGGGGAGGGGCCAAAGGGGGCGGGGCTTAAATAGGGCGGGGCTTAAAGGGCCAGGAGGGGTTTGATGGGAGGTAGGGGCTGCCAAGGGGTAATTAATGAGGTTAATTAGCGGCTAATTACAGGGCAGGCTCATTAATGAGGAGCTGAAGGGAGGGTTAATTAACGCGGTTAATTAGCGGCTAATTACCGGGCAGGCTCGTTAACGAGGCGCTTAAGGGAGGGTTAATTAACGCGGTTAATTAGCGGCTAATTACCGGGCAGGCTCGTTAACGGGGCGCTGAAGGAGGGTTAATTAACGTGGTTAATTAGTGGCTAATTACGGCACAGGCTCGTTAACGAGGCGCTGAAGGGAGGGTTAATTAACGCGGTTAATTAGCGGCTAATTACGGCGCAGACTCGTTAACGAGGCGCTGAAGGAGGAGCTGGGCCGGATCCACGCCCTGGAGCAGCGGACGCTGACGCCGGAGCAGTGGGAGGAGCAGCGCGGCTCATTAGCATAAATTTGCATATCGATTTCCGCCCCCCCGGCTGCGTTTGCATGGATTTGCATAAATTATCTCCGCCTGGCTCTCATTTGCCTGAATTTGCATAATGCTAATAAACATTCCTCGTTTTAATGCGGTGGTGTGGATTCGGTTAATTTGCATTAATTTGCATAATTTGTTGGTTACCGGGGGGGGGGAGGGGCGCTCCCAGTTTGGGATTCCCGCGGTGCATTGTGGGAAACGGGACCCTCCCCCCCTCAGGTGCCTGGCCACGCCCAAAACGGTTCAAACCAGTTCAAACC